ACCCAGGAATAGCAGAGATAAGTACCAGGAGTTTTGTTTCATGGCTTGGAGGAAAAGGACGCTCAGATCGAGAAGGGAGTACCAAATAAAAGGTGTTGGGAAGATCCTCCCAGGATGGGAGAAGCATGCTGAAAGTAGACTATAGACCAAACATGATTGCCACTCAATGCCTCTTTTGCAAACCACAACACCCAAAAGGAGAGAGATAACAAAATGGAATACCCTGCCACAAAGGCAGGATGGGATTTGGGGGATGGGGGGTGGGAGATATACTGGGACCCATGGTGGTGGAAAATGGGCACTGGTGGACGGATGGGTGTTTGATCATTGTACAATTGAAACTCAAGTACAAAAATTTGTAAATCTACAACTGTATCTCATGGTGTTTCACTAAAAAAAATTTTTTAAAAATGTAAATGATGGAGAATGGGCAATGGTGGAGGGATTGGTACTGGATCATTTTATAACTGAAACCCAAAGCACAAAAGTTGTAAGTCTACAACTGTACGTCATAGTGTTTCACTAATAAAAATTTAAAAAAATAAAATAAAATACAAAGAGACGTCTGGAACAATATTTTTGATCACATGTCCCGTGGGGAGGCGTAGTTGAGGAGGCGTGGTGAAAGGATAAAAAGAGTGGCTGCAAGGAGCAAAGAGAGATTGTTGAGAGAAATAGATTGATGGTTGAGAGAAATGGATTGATAGATGGATGGATTGATGGATTGATTGAAGCAGACAGAGATAGAGGAGACAGATATAGCAGGAAGAAATAATTGTGCGGTTAGACAGAGATAGAGAGGGTTGGAGAAAGCTGGAGATGAGATATTGAATAAACAACAACTAGTCAGCAACCAGCTTGGCCCTCGTTCTTTCTTTGTCCATCCTAAGGAACAGCTTTCCCAGGTGGAGAAGTGACTCAAGAGCACCGAAAGCGGGCAGTAAGAGAGTACTCTTTCACATGTAATCCCCACACTCGTGATGGGCTAACACAGCCCTTTGGAGGGAGATTCGCACAGTTACTTGAGAGCCCGGAATTTCTTTTCACATCAGGAGATCCAACAAGGTTGGCCACATGCAAAACAAGAGCCGTACTATCTGTACTATCTCTTCAGGCCCCCAGAATATCTTTAATATTTTCCTCTCATTACATCTAATTAAATACCAACTCTTTCTTCAAAATTCTCTCAACTAAAAATTCTCACCCTTTTCACCAAAGTCAATGACTATCATTAATTTTTATTTATTTGGCCCCTTGTGATTTTCTTTTTTTTGAAATGCCTGTTCACATTCTTTATCCAGCTTTCTCCATTCACTGGAACACTTTGCATTTGCCAACAATAGAAAAAAATTTTAAATCTTACAATGCAATTTTCTTTATATCTTGACTGGAGCTATAGTTCATTTAAAGCATTCATGTATATTCTGTTTACTGAAACATGAAAAATCAGGTTGAAAGGTGAAATTTTACTCAAATTTGGAGCTTGCCACATGTGAATAAGTTTGACGTTCATTAGCCTGTATAACATATGAGTGACATAATTCTTACCTAGATGTGTTCATACTGCATCAACATAACCCAAGATTTACTCTCCATTCTTAAGCTGCAGACAAAATATTCTAAAATCCTTTAGATTCTTATGAGGTTTACAGGGTTTTTTTAAAAACATTGTTTATTTGGAAACAGAATATTTTCCCCTGTTAATTGTCTTCAGTCTCCCACTGCTTCTATTTTCAGAACTGACGTAGAAGATAGAAGCACAGGGGTTTTTTTTTAACCCTATCAGAAAATTGGGTGATGAAATGAACAGAAACTTTCTCAAAGAAGAAATCCGAATGGCCAAAAGGCACATGAAAAAATGCTCTTCATCACTAATCATCAGGGAGATGCAGATCAAAACAACAATAAGATATCATCTCACACCACAGAGACTGGCCCACATCCAAAAGAACAAAAACAGCCAGTGTTAGTGTGAATGTGAGGAGAAAGGGACTCTCCTTCACTGCTGGTGGGAATGCCAACTGTTTCAGCCCTTTTGGAAAAGAGTATGGATGCGTCTCAAAAAATTAGAAATTGAGCTCCCATTTGACCCAGCAATACCACTCCTGAGAATATATCCAGAGAGGGAAAAAAGTATAGTCGAAGTGACATCTGCACTTGTATGTTCATTATGTTCATTGCAGCACCATTTACAATAGACAGAATCCGGAAAAAAACCTGAGTGCCCGAGAACAGATGACTGGTTAAAGAAATTTTGGTACATCTACACAATGGAATACTATACAGCTGTTAGAAAAGATGTAATCTTGAAATTTGCATATAAGTGGATCAACATGGAGAGTATCATGCTAAGTAAAATGAGTCAGAGAGAGAGGGATAGACATAGAATGACTGTACTCATTTGTGGAATATAAAGTAACAGAATGACTAACACCCAAGGATAGTAGAGATGAGGATCAGGACGATTGTTCCATGGTTTCGAAGCCGGCCTCACATGCTGGGGGAAAGGACAGCTCAGACAGAGAAGGGAACCCCAAGTAAATGGTGCTTGGAGGGCTCGCTCTGGATTGGAAATGCATGCTGAAAGCAGAATATAGACCGAACATGATGGCCACTTTATACCTGCATTGCAAACCACAACACCCTAAAGGAGAGAGTAAAAGGGAATGCACCTGCCACAGAGGCAGGGGAGCGGGGGGAAGGATGGGGTGTGGGTGTTGGGAGGGATATTGGGACCATTGGTAGTGGAGAATGGGCACTGGTGGAAGGATGGGTACTCTATTACTGTATGACTGAAATGTAAGCATGAAACTTTGTAAGTCTGTAACTGCACCTCACGTTGATTCATTAAATTTTTTTAAAAAAAATTGGAAAGAGTTTATAGTCAGAATTAGAAAAGTTGTCAGATCACTTGACACAGAAGCTGTAAGAATTTATACAGTGTATCATTTCATAAATATTATCTCTTTTCAATTATTCAGTGAGTTTCTTTTAAAATATGCATTTAAAGTTTAGTGTATTTAACCATGAATTACATGTATATACACATATTTTAGGATTATTTAATATATGCATTACTCTTATTTATTTTTATATAACTTATTTTTTTTCGGGGGCCACCCCTGGAAGTACTTGGGGGTTACTCCTGGCTCAGTGCTCAGGGATTACTCTTGGCAGTGCTTGGGGGACCGTGTGTTGTTGGGGTTCAAACCCAGGGCTCCTGCATAAAAAGCATTTGCCCCTCCTCAGCTATCATGATTAATTTATGATCACAAATAATATTTCATTATTTTTAAAAAGTATGGATGATTTATTAGAATAAGTTGCATATTTACAAAGCTTTTCAAGTATGAAAGGAAAAAGCATCAAAACATGGCTTTTTTGCATATTTACAACTCATTTCAAAATGAAAGGAGAAGCCTCAAAACTGGCTTCAATTCTGTATTCAAAAGGTATTAAACACAACCCTGAAATAACTAGTAAATAATTGCAGCTAATAATTGATAATTGGAGGGAGAAATCCTTTTGACTGAAATTGTAGAACACAGTAATTAAAATCAGAACTTTGACACATAAGACACATAAACATAGTATCATAATTTAGTTTGTATGAATGCTTGTAAATGGACAAGGTGCATTTTGTTCCCAACGGTTAATTTCACAGTATACTATGAAAAAATGCTCCACATCACTAGCCATCAGGGAGATGCAAATCAAAACAACAATGAGACATTATCTCACACCACAGAGATTGGCACACATTCAAAAGAACAAACAAAAGCAACCAGTGCTGGCATGGATATGGGGGAAAAAGGGACACTCCTTCACTGTTGGTGGGAACGCCCACTAGTCCAACCTTTCTGGAAAACAATATGGACAGTCCTTCATAAACTAGAAATTGAGCTTACATATTACCCCGCAATACCACTTCTCGGAATATATCCCGAGGATGAAAAAAGTACAATAGAAATGACATCTGTACCTATATGTTCATTGCAACACTGTTCACAATAGCCAAAATCTAGAAACAACTCAAGTGCCCTAGAACAGATAACTGGTTAAAGAAACCTTGGTATATCTACACAATGGAATACTATGCAGCTGTTAGGAGAGATTAAGTCATGAACTTTGTTATAAATGGATAGACATGGAAAGGATCATGCTAAGTGAAATGAGTCAGAAAGAGAGGGACAGACACAGAAGGACTGCATTCATCTGTGGAATATAAAACAACATAACATGAGACTGACTCCTAAGGATAGTAGATACACGGGACAGGAAGATTGCCCCATAGCTGGAAGCTTGCCTCATGAGCAAAGGGGAAAAGGCAGCTGGAATAGAGAAGGGATTACTAAGAAATTGATGGCTTGGTCGGGATGGGAGATGTGTGCTGAAAGTAGATAAAGACCAAAAATGATAACCTTTCAAGGTCTGTATTGCAAACCATAATGTCCAAAAGTAGAGCGAGAGTATGGGGAATACTGTCTGCCATGGAGGCAGGGGTAGGGTGGGAAAGGGGGGTAGGGGGGTAAGCCGGGGATATTGGTGGTAGGGATCATTGTGTGATTGTAACCCAAATATGAAAGCTTGTAACTATATCACGGTGATTCGATAAAATTTAAAAAAAAAACTAATGTGGCAACCTAAAAAAATTTCAAAGTATACAACAAACATTAAATATTAAACATAACTACATATATATATTGTGGTACTGGAAGGATCTCACACTTGCAAGGTAAATGCTCTATTGCTGAGCTATATCCCCTGCTCTTAAATTATTATAACTATATTTCAAATTTCTGTTATACAATAACTAAAATGAAGGTACAATGTTTCATTATTTCATTCTTCTCTAGAAGAAAAATAAACATTAATTATACATGGCTTATGTTTTTCATGATAGTTTTTATCTTTTTTCGCAGAATTTATGAAGTTTGTCAAAAATAGAAATGGTACCAGACTACATATCTAACTTGAACCCCTAGCTTCATTTGACTTACTCAGGCATTTCTCTGCCATCCCAAAAATCATCAAAGTTTACTTTCTCTGGAATTTCATCTGGATTCCAGATCTCCTCAACAGTATTGTTGTTCTTTTCAGAGAAAACTGCGAAGAAAGGAGAGATAAAGTTGAAGCTGCTGCCTATTTCCTCCCTCAAAGTTGGTCATACTTTGTCCTCAGCTTGGTGATCATTGAGATAAAAATCTTTTCTATTTGTAATCACTACCTTGTTTTCCAGTCAAAACAAGCTAACTTACAAACAGTTCAATTTTTTTTAAAAAAATTACCCAACTAGTACATTGCAGAACTGTAATAATAGTTGTGAGAAATTTGAAAAAGGTGTAACTAAAGAGAACAAAATAACCTATAACCCAAACACCTGGGCATATATGTACATATCATATATACATAATATATGACATATAAATATATATTCTAATATGTTATTAAAATATAATACATTTTCCAGAAATAAATTGGATCATTGTAAAATATTTTTATTTAACAGAGCAAAGCAAAGCTTTGGGTTTGGCTATAAATGTCTTATTTAGCATTGTGCTTTGTTACATAATAGTTCTTTGATATCTTTGATCTAAAATTGATGTCCTATATAATAGAATATTTATCCTACTTTATTGGATTTGTTACTTTATAAACAATCTCCACAAATAATTTCAGTATAAGATAAAGTTATGTAGTCATGTGTTTTATTTCTTCTCCAAAACCTATTGTTCTCCTGGGGATAGGGACACTTTCTAGCTTGATCTCTATCTTATCCTTAGAGATGATCATATTCTTGGTACATAATGGATCCTCAAAATTATTTATTGAGTAAATTAATTTTGTGAGATTTCCAGAAGATAGAAGTTTAGAAGGTGAAGAAGCTAAGCATTTAACCAGTAGATGATACTTATCTAGCCACACCTGATTTTCTCAGTCTTCCATCTTGGTAAATATGCTCAAAATGAGAACTAATCAGAAGGTATTAAAAGTTCGAATATTGGAAAAATAACTTACCTGCAACAGTAGAATTAAAAATGTGCATATCTATATTTAAATGAATTCACCATTTCCACTGTTGAGTTCATTTTAATACATGCTTGTGTTGGTGTTACTCTTACTGTAGTTTTTTGCTTACAGAAAGATCACACTATATTCTTTGCTTGATTTTTTTGGCCTACTGGTGCCACACTTGGCTTGATGCTTGGCAGCTACTACTGAAGGTACTCAGGAAACCATGTGGCTCCAGAAGAACCAGGGACTTATAATTGCAATAACATTTGCTCCAGCCCTCCAACTGAGCCAATTACCTTTCCTACTGTATTTGCTTTATTAAATAATTTACCTTTAATTTCTTCAATTTGGTGTGCCCCAATATGTCCTGGATTCATATTTCCTGATGAAATGGAATGTGATGGCTAGAGAAAAAATTCAACATCCTATAACTATTACTTTTATAATTTATATGACAAGACACATTTTAAACTTGATAAACTATATAGAACACTCATAGACCTTTACACTTTAGCTTTTAGTCAATGTTACACAATAGAGACAGAAGTCAAGCATAAGTTTGAATGTTTTTTTCTTACTTTTCCAAAAGTATTTGGTTCTTACCCTAAGGCAGAATTGATCTTTCTTTTGATCTTTGAACAGACCAAGTCACCAGTTTCAGACCAGTGAATTGTGTATCACCGTGGGTAGGGGAATGGACTACATCATCTCTTTAAAGTTTATAACCAGCGTTAAAAGAAAAGCACTAGAATCAATGTCTGGTCAAAATTATATGAGTGACAGACGTATAGGAACATTTTATAGAAATTAAAAGAAACCTCTAAATAAACTAAATATTTTAGAAATCAAGTGATTCACTCAAATGTCCAGATAAGAGGGCTAGGGTGTGGCTAGGTAAGGCCATGGGCTGATCCTCCATGCTGCAAAAAACAAAACAAACAAAAAGCCCCCACAAAAGTCCTGATAACTTTTACTTCCACTGAATAAAACAATAAAAAATAAAATAATAAAGATGAAATTTACTCTACTGCTTGCAATAAAAATTCTTATCTTCTTGGATCCTGGAAAACGAACAACTTCTAGATCTTCCTTTACAGACTCCTGCTCTAAGTTCCTAGGACTTCAGCTATATACAAGAGTTGTAATGCCTTGTGTGGGCAAGAGAAATAGTGTTTGTCCTTGAGAGCTGATAGAAAGTCGCTCCTGGGTCTTTATTATGCTCAACTATTCCAACAAGCAATACATCAGACATTAATCTATTACATCTTAACAGTTCCTGAGACAATAACTATTACTCTTCAAAGGTGCTTCAATAGTGCTGTGGCTGTGGTTAAGGTGTTAAACTTAGTTTTATGTGGAATATCTATGAAAGTATTCAGTGTATAATTTCTTTCTAATAACTAAGTAGTGAAGTAAACTTGTAGTGCTTTTCTTAAACTATTAATCACCAGACTTCTAATAGATAATCAGGGTAAGAATTTTCTTAGAACATGAGACCTCTTATTTTTGTTGAGTGTCTCCTTAATTGGAAAATTAAACTCTAGAGAAATAAAAACTAAGCATTGATATTGATGATTGGTCAGCATATCAGGATAGTGTGTCAGTTTATTAACTTAATAAAAATAAATCCTTAGAAATAAAATCTTTCTGTAAAAACTGGGTCGAGATAATAAAAATATTAAATACCATCTGGCAATTGTTTGCTTTAAGTACATCATTTGAGCCTGTACTATGAATCTGAGTTCAATTATATGAGCAATTTATCATTGCAATTTATGCATCTTTGCAATATGTAAGAGAGTTAAAACATTCCAATTGCAATGTTTATGATGACTGGTGAACCTTATTTCCCACAGGCCTTAAGATACTCTTGTGAGTTAAAAAAATCAACAAACATACTCTTATCCTAATTTCACAGATTCTTAGCAATTCATGGTAGAGACAATGTAAATGAATCTATGTGTATGCAATAGCTCGAATGTTGTTTTCAGAGTGTATTTTCAAAAACACATTACTCTTGTAATCATTCCATAGTTCCCAAGATTAATACATGTCAAAAAATGAAAAGCTGTTTCTCTCCTGGAAAATTTAATAGTTCATTAGAAACATTAATTATTCTCCCACTGTTCTGATACACCAATTCTATATCCTCTAATGATATCTGTACTGTGGTGTCTGAATGACCAATTATCTCAAAATTGCGTGTAACCCAGATACACAGAATCATACATTATTACAGTAATTTTCCTCTATAAATTGTAAAATTTGGTGAAATAAGCACAGTCTATTTGTTCTTTTAAGCCCTCATATTCCCCCTAGAAACATCTCTAGATGCAAATAAACATCTCCATGCAAAATATAAAAGGTAAAGGCTTTGTAACTAGGATAACTCCTTATTTCAAACCTATTCCTGTTACAACTTCTCCTTTTCTTTATTCAGGATCATGGCTTCTGAAATAGTTCACACGCTTTTCCCATATCATATAACCCTGCCTTTTCCAGAATGTAGTCTTCAGAAAATCATCATTCTATTCCAGCTAAGGTAGCAAAAAATGAGCTTGCCTTCACAGCTTTATCAATATGTTTCTCCTTTTTCTTCATATGTACTATTTGTTGTATATATTCAGTGGTGTTACTAATTATATGATTTTTCTTTGTTTGGTCTCTACTAAGACTTTTCTCTGATTAAATGTTTATGATGTCTGCTCCTGTTCAAGTCAACTCAGTTCTTTCCTAGGCTATAATTTTATTGGTACTTCATGTCTTGACTTTTCTCCCTTTCATCTAACTTTTTCCTGGAGGGCAGACACTCAATCCACGCCACTGAATTTGCTGCTTATTCATAATCTACTCATTTTTTCTACACTATGGCAGAAAAGAAGTTTGGGGGACTGGAGAAATAGTACAGCAGGTAGGGCTCTTGCCTTGCACACTGCCAACCTGGGTTTGATTCCCAGCATCCCATATGGCTTCCTGTATCAGGAGTAATTCTGGAGTGTAGAGTAAGGAATGGCCCCCAAACAACAACAACCAAAGAGCAAACAGAAAAGAGTTTGTGGTCATAACTAGATGTGTATGTTTACGGAAGATGGACAGATGGTTTATTCATAGCACAGTGGTTATAGTATAAAACTTGATTACAATAAATAGCATAGATACTTCTGCATATTATATATTTTTCATCCCAGATTTTGTTTTGTTTCAAAATGCGCATTTGAGAGGCAAATTTCACTTTTGGCTCTGTAATAGGAAAATGGAAAGCAGGGGATTTACATCAAAGTATTTTGATTTTTAGGCTTAGTCTTCAAGTCCCTCTTCTTCCTTGAACATGTATCTCATTTGCTTGTCTCTATGTCTCTTTGTTTTTCCACTCTGGAGAAAATTGTGTTCTTTCTTGAACACATACTTTTCTCTTTCTCTCTCTTCCTATCTTTCTAAGTAAGTTTTTATAAATATTACCTTGTTTCACCAAAAAAAAAGGATTTTGAATTTTCTTGGAATAATGGTAGTGACTTTGGAATAGCAAAAACTCAATTCAGCGAACTCTCTACCTCAAATAAAGTCCATCATGTCACTACAAGTTTGTCTTCACTAACCCCAGATGATGTTTATCTACATAGATTCCACAGCACTTTCTAACCATTTACTCAGAAGCCAATTTTAGTAGGCTGGACTGGTTTGCTTCATAATTTGGATCAATATATTTGCTATACTGATTTCATATATAGACAGTAAAAAGAATAAAAAGAACTGGAATTTGTGGGTCTAGTTAATATGAATGGCCATAATTTGTTTTATAAAAATATTGCCTAAGCTTAAAAATCCTAGTTAAAACTCTGCAATTGTTGTCAAGCATTCTTAAACCGTAAATGTAAATGACAAACATTTTGAATGGTGGCTACTGCTACCATAGTTACAGAACTATTTTCCTATTCAGTGTTCAGGTAGCTTAGAAAAAAATATAATTATGTTTCCTAGAAGTGTATAATCTCATGCATAATCAGCCCTGCAACCTCCAGTGAAGCTATCAGATGTCACAGTCCTACTCGCACAACAAGATTGGAACAAGTTGTTCAAATACAGGTTCACAACTTAATGTGAACAGAACTAATTCATTTGTAAGAATGTGACCACCTGTCCAGTGTAGAACTCGTCCTCTTCATCTTCTGGAAATAGCAATTTAGAGAGTGCTTGTACTGCAGAAACTGATGAGATTGTTTCAGTTTCCATGCTTTCCGATTCACTATTTTCCGTCTCCATACTCTCCGTTTCTACACAACCAGATTCCATATTTTCTGAGTCCATTTTTTCTGAGGAAGAAGGTGATCAGAATGAGGTACTTTAGTTTTCTATTTTCTATGAGAAATGAAAGTTTGAGACCAGAGAGATAGTGCAGGGAATGTTTGAGGTGCTTGCCTTGCATATTTCAGAGACAACTCTATCCCTGGCACTGCATATGGTCCCCTGGGCTGTGCCAGGAATAATCCCTGAGCATAGAGCCAGGAATAAACCCTCAGCACTACTGGGTGTGTCAACAAATGAAACTATAGGGGCCAGAGCAATAGTACAGTGAGTAGAGTGCTTGCCTTGAACACGGCTGGACCGGGTTCGACCCCCAGTATCCCATATGGTCCACAGAACACAGCCAGGAGTGATCCCTGAGCATCAGAGGTTATGGCCCACAAACCTATCCTGAAAAGTGAAAATTTAAAAAACACTCTCCCATCCATGGGTCACTCTATAGTAGGTTTCCACTGTTATCTGCAAATAGAACATGCCTATGAGGCCTTTTGTAAGACCAAAATGACACAAAGTGTGAAACACCCGGCATTAATTTGTGTGGATTTTTAGTATATCCAGATATAAAATTTAAGCCACCAAATCATGCCAAATAACACATTAAGACCTAAAGTCACATACACACAAAATCAAAAGAAAAACTTATAAAACATCCACAACCTAGATGGATCTAGTAGTTCCTGGGAAGAATTGGTGTTATCTCTTTTGAAGTTTAGGGTGTGGGCTGCTTTTTCAAGCACCATCACAAGGCATTGTTTAAAATTTTGCCTTTTTTCATGCAAGCAAACATCTGATTTTTTTTCCGGTTAGCAAAATACGTGCTAATCAGTCTCTTGTGAATGTGGTGTTAAACAGCACAAAATTTTGGAAAGAGGGAGAAGTTCGCAGTTAACTACCTTAGGTGGAATATGGAGATGATAGTAATGCTACTTCATAGGAATGTTACAAGGATTAACTAGTTTACTGTATGTATAAACTCAGAACACTGTCACGCACGTAGTTTCAGCATATGTTTGATATACACAATGGAAAATTACTCTGCAGTAAGAAAGGATAAAGTCATGAAAATTGCTGCTGTGTGACTGGATCTGGTATCATGTTACATGAAGTTGCAGGAAGAGGGACAGACACATAATGAGCTCTCTCATACACAGGATTTAAAGAAACTTGATAAGGGAATAACAAAGCCCAAAAGGCAATAATAGTAAAGAAGAGCAGAATAACTGTTCTTCCATAGGAAGCTAGTCACTTGATTGGAGGTGAGGGACAAATTAGGGAAGGGATGCATTAAACTAGGAGAGGTGGTACAGAAAGGTGCTAAAATGTTATGTATGTATCCCTATCAGATAAAGTACTGTGAACCACAATACAAAACTTTTTATATATGTTAAAAACTAACCTCTTGGGAATATATCCCAGAGAGGCAAAAAAGTATAGTCGAAGTGACATCTGCACTTGTTTGTTCATTGCAGCACTGTTTACAATAGCCAGAATCTGGAAAAAACCTGAATGCCCAAGAACAGATGACTGGTTAAAGAAACTTTGGTACATCTACACAATGGAGTACTATGTAGCTGCTAGAAAAGATGAAGTCATGAAACTTACATACAAGTGGTACTACATGGACAGCATCATGCTAAGTGAAATGAGTCAGAAAGAGAGGGACAGACATAGAAAGATTGCATTCATTTGGGGAACATAAAGTAACAAAATAGGAGACTAACACCCAGGAATAGCAGAGATAAGTACCAGGAGGTTTACTCCATGGCTTGGAGGCCAGCCGCACATGGTAGGGGAAAAGGCAGCTCAGATAGAGAAGGGAGGACCAAATAAAGGGTGTTGGGAAGATCCTCCCAGGATGGGAGATACGTACTGAGAGTAACCTTTAGACTGAACATGATTGCCACTCAATGCCTCTTTTGCAAACCGCAGCACCCAAAAGGAGAGAGAAGAAAGGGCAATGCCCTGCCACAGAGGCAGGGTGGGATGGGGGGGGCGAGGGGGGAGGGATACTGGGATCAGTGGTGGTGGAGAATGGGCACTGGTGGAAGGATGGGTATTTGATCATTGTATAACTGAAACCCAAGCACAAAAATTTGTAAATCTACAACTGTACCTCATGGTGTTTCACTAATAAAAATCTAAAAAAAATCCCCCCCAAACTAACAACTTCTAGAAGCAAAGTTGTTGGAGGGAGGTAAATGGGGTTGGTGGGAAATTGTTGAAGCAAAGTCGACATTGGTGAAGGGATCAGTGTTGTAAAATTGTATACCTGAAATCTTATCATAAATACATTTTCAGTTTCACAGTGACTAGATAAAGTTGAAAAAGAGAATAAGCAAAAGAAAGAAAAGAAAAGAAAAAAATGCTTGCTCTAGAGGTATGCTGGGGGATGGATGGGAAGCTGGGGACATCAATGAAGGGATCTGGACACTGGTAAAGGGATTGTTGGAACATTGTATGCCTGAAACTTAATAATGAGTAACTTTTTAAGTCTATAATTCACAGTGATTTAAAATTTAAAAATATTTAAAAAGTATGCTAGAGATTATTGTTCTTTTTAAAAGTTTATTTTTTTCCAATAAAAATGTCATATAAATTAATGATAAAACTCATTACATTGGAAACTCATTAACTTGGAGAAGGTGAAAGAAGACTTGATAAAACAATCTTCTTTCACAGTATGATCTGTTAGTCTGCTATGGAAATGGATAATTGACACATATTTAATTAAATAAAGAAGATTCTGTTTATATTTTAAAAACCCTCTTGATTACGTGTTTGTTAAATATTTGCTTTACATTAAACATAAATTTTTGGAAACATTCTCTTTGAACAATCAAAGGGGAAAATATATCTGGATATCAGATACAATGATAATTAGTATTTTGAGTTTACATTTTATAAATAAGGTTATGCAAAAACGAATATAGAACCAGAAATATAGCTCAATAGTATACTGTTTGTTCTGCATGTGTGATGCACTGGGTTTAATACCTGGCACGGCAATAAATATATTTAAAAGGTAGTAGAAATTGTTTATTCCAGCATTGTCGACATTACAAAACTGTTGTGGTAGCCTTATTATGCAACACAGACAAAAGAGTTTGCTAAAATATAAAAAGCTATATAAAGTACTATTATCAGGTGCCAGCATCCTCAGCTTCTTGATTATGAGGCTTGTAAGAGTGCATTGGTTGGTTGATGAGAGGGGAATAAAGGAGCCAAATAAAACCTAATAGAGTGGTATTCAAATACAGTGATTGAGGTAGAAATCAGAATTGCTATTCATGTATTTCTATCTGCTTGGTAGAAACATTGCAGTAGGTTTAAGAACATGAGAAAAGAACAGGAGAAAAAGGTTGGATAGCTGTGGATATAGTACTCAGGTACAGATTTGAGGATTGTGGGGAGCTTGACAGCTAAATGAAGGCTTAGAATAGGGTAGGCCTCAATATCACAGATGGAAAAGAGAACCAGTATCAAAGACTTGTTTGTGGCAACTGGGCATTCTGAAGGAAGTTGTGATTCAGTGGGTTCATTGGATAGAGATTTGGAGAAAGAAGATTCATTTTAAATACTCACCAATTTGGATCTGATCTGTTTCTCATTTGGTGAAAGGCAGGGTAGTGTGAGGAGGGCACAATAGCTGTAGGCTGAACAGCTTCAATAACAAGTTGGCACACAGACAACGGTTGACGAAAACTGAAGGAAGCATGATTAAATTCATATGAATGTTGAATTTCAGAGCAGTCACCTTGGAAGATTTTATACAGATGTAAATTATGCTATCAGTACTTGTAATATTTGGAAATTGTCTTCATATGCATCAGTAAGAAAAAAAGTTATCATTATGGTATCACTCAGTTTGATTACACATCAGATTTTGTCTCCGAGTGATTTCTAGATATATCCAGATATCACATCTACTTTCAAAAATATGAAGATCTGCTAGTTTGAGGATATTGAAAAGGATGCCCTATAAGCCTCAAGGCAATTCTAAAACAGATTAAAAAGTAATTTTAGCAACAGCAGCAGCATTAGAATAAGTGGATATACTCTTGAAGTGACTGCTTTGAATGATGCCACTCCATGGGTGGTATATGTTTGAAAGTATTTGTTAAACAGATATTTAGAATAATTTATAGTAACACTACACCTGAAGCATATTAAGAACTGAACATCTTAAATTACAAATTATGCTGGCATAAATGGCACAAAGATTTACAATGAGATAAATTGGAATAGAATTATCATTATAAAATTTGTAATTTAACAACAACAATTTTCCCATAGCAAGTGTAATACTAATCTAATAGCAATGTTATATTAGTATGTAATGTTTTTAATGCAATAGTAAGTAAAACAATCATGACAACTTTGTTGGCATTGTATTTGGAGAAACAAACGGTGTTAAAAATATATTCTGATTAAATAGATCCAAGTATTCGATCTGTATTAAATTAATTTTCATATGAATTTAGTAAAATTTAATAAACTGACATTTTGTTAGACTTCTAATATAGCTAGAATTAGGGCTGAAGCGACAGTACAGTGGGTGGGGTATTTGCCTTGCATGTGGCTGACCCGGGTTTCATCCTTGACATCGCATATGGTACCCCCCAAGCCAGGAATAATTCCTGAGTGCAGAACCAGGACTAATCCCTGAGCACACTGGGTGTGACTCAAAAAGGCAAAATAAAATAAAATATAATAGCTAGAAATTCTTCCATTAAATTTGGAATATTTCCCAAAATTTTATTGCTTTTTAAGAAGTGTACCAAATTGCTAATTTAATAAATTTTGTTAAATGTATGTGACATTTATTTGACACAAACAGATCACTATGGAAAAGCAAAGCATCTGCCTTTATATGAACTATGTAGTATTATTAATTTATTGGGCCATATTACTAATACATCAATAAACACTAATTTAATCTTGATATTGACGATATAACAACAAAATCTCACACTGGAAACGCTACTGGGCCCGCTCGAGAAAATCGATGAACAACGGGAGGACAATGACAGTGACAGTGATTGACGATGAAGGTCCTATAGGATATAATTACAATCTAATTTATCAACCTTCCATCCTATTATTTCTTCTACATGTATTCTGTAGTCTGCTAAAAAATGGAGCTCCTTTATTAAACACCCTGTAATAAAGATCTGGGATTGTGGCTTACCAAATTGCCTGTCTTACATGTGTGAGTCTGTAAGCTTGATCCCCCTCAACACTCCACATCTCTGAGTTCTATCCCTGCCTCTCTGTGAACCCTGATCTCATTAAGAGTGCCTGCATCACAATCAGTATGTGCCATCTCTGTCCTCATACCCCCATCCCTCAGCACACCACAGTAATAACAAGAAGGGAAGGGGGTGGGCACCATATTTCTGCCTTGGTACCTAAAAATATTATCTAGTAAGAGGGAGGGAAAAAGGGATTTCTTCAGCAACTTCATTTGCATAATAATTTATTTAGCAATTCCTGTATTAAAATTATTCTGACAACTAAAAGTAAAGATTATCTCTATGTCTGAATTAAAATATAACATGCAGGTTTATTTGTTCTTACATTTTATGCAATTATAATTATAAAGTCATCAAAGATCTCCTCTTTATTACAATTAATTGCTTTTTTGCTCTCTTACTGCCATCAAACTTGCAGTCATAAATAAGTATGGGGCTTAAGCAGCATTTTTCTTACAAGATAAAAATGCTTAATACACATCTGTAAAATAACATTAAATGAGCATGCTTAAAATTGTCTTAAATAACCATACTTTAAATATATTTAAATAAACATTTAAAACACCCTTAATGGAACATGACTTTTAAAAGGACCTGAAAGTTTTCACAAACCAAAATGTCAGGAAATTAGCCTTTTTAAATGTAATGTTTCCTCTAGTTTTCTCTATATTTCAGCCAAGATTAATAAAAATTATTCTCATTCATTTTAAATTTTTTTACCTCATTCAAACTTTACCTCTATCCAAAAAGGAGGCAGCACATTTTATTTCAGTACTTTGAACATTCTCCCCAAGTAACAACCTTGTTTTGTTTGTTTGTAACTGTTCCAAATCCTTGTCCCAGTAGCACTCTTAGGAGAAATGACTCTTACTTAGAAATTACCGGTATAGAAATGGCCCGTACTTTCTGGGCAAACGCGGGTTTTTCTCCTTCACTCAGATCTTATTATTTAATACAGTGTGTTGCATTTTGATAGGTACAAATCAACGATATAAAATATTCTCCTAGTCCGCTCTTGGCTATTAAGGGATTTAGCAGGACAAAGGAATCTTGACACCACACTCCAGTCCGCTAAGTGTGGAATAATTGCTTTTTCTCCTCAACGAATCTGAGTAATATCTGTTGAAGTCCTCAGGCCTCAGTAATGATGTCCTCTCTCATAGAGCATTGTTTAGGTAACAGATGACATAGGCCATTTTTTTCAGCCCTTAAATTTATATATACTTCCTATTAAAAAAAACCGGAATCACCGCGAAATAACCTCTATTTTTTTCTTGGAGAACTCTTCATTTCAACATATAAAATCAAATTTGTAAACACAACCCCTACTGAAGTGACATGGTACAACCGTGGCTCTGACAGTGTTGCTGATTTAATGCCCAAATAGCCACCTATGTTTTCTCATCTGTAATATAATACGCTCTCTTTTTATTCGTAATATATATAGCCCAAACAAGGCATGATGGGAAGAATCATGCATATATATACATATATGTATATACATATATTAGGAGATACAGAGTATCTCCAACTTGGACCAGTCATATCCACATATAATAAATTCTTTTTCACACTTAAATTCGTGCTCTAAATTTTAAGAGGGTGTGAGAGAGTTAAAAGTTCTGTACTGGGAAGTCTTCATATATTCGATTTGGTCTCTGACAAGTACATCAGTACAAAAGTATTCAGAACGACAGCGGTCAAATCACCACCCACTCAAATCTCTTTAAAATCGAGTTTTGTGAAAGTGACCTAGGACAGGGGATTGTCAGAGAGGTTAGGCTTTTGGTTTTATATCTGACTCTTCAATATCTAGAACTCTGTCGAATTTCCCTAAGAGCCACAGGCAAGTACCTAGCGGACCTTTTCCTGCCCCTTCCTAGGATTAGGGTTTTCCTCACCTGGTCCAGCTATCTGGCTGCTCGCTGGGCTCTTAGGCTCCGAAAAGGGGACGAGGAGCGGTCTGCGTCGTTCAGTTGCCTTGGTAACCACTTTTTGCCCCCGCCCCCTAGTTCTACCTGCGCGGGGTCCCGTTTGACTTTTTGACCAATCACGAAGGAGTGTCCTTTAAAAAAAAAACTGCGGACTCCACCAATCCGAGAGCGGGCCAGGGGCCGCCCTTTCCACTTTACTAGGTCGACCCCATTTTAGATTCCAGTTAGCGTCACTCCGAAGGGAACACGCCCCCTGGGGGAGGCCGGTGCGGTTCTGTGCCGGTAGGCCCGGCCCGGGCGACGCGCTCCCGGCCGTCTAGCCTTTCAAGCTCGGGGTCCGGATCGTAGCGGCGACTGCTACGAAGGTAAATTTGCCACTTCGCTCTGTCCATGAATCTTCCCCCCCTCCCCCGAATTCCCGAGCCAACGGCTTCTTTACTAGAACCGCGGGGCGCTGGTGGTGAGAGGGGCGTCGCGCGCGGTGGGGTGCCCTCTTTGGCCTTGGGGTTGAGGTTATCGATGTCGCTCTAGGAGCACACAGCCGTCCCTTGTCCCCTAATAGACAAGTCTCCGTCGTGTTTCGGGGGACTCATGGTGGAGACGGTGGGCATGTGTCTGGTGGAGGGGCAGGAGCTGATCACGCATTCTTCCCGCGTACCCTCCTCCCCCGCGCCGCCACCACCACCGCGGGTCAACGGTTTCAGAGGCCAAAGCCGCACGCGGGAAGTTCGGCTGTTGGGAACTTTAGGACTCTGGAGCCTGGCGTTTCCCGCCTTGGAGGGGAGAAACACCGGCGCTGTGCTAGCTGGCTGCTATTTGGCATTCGGAAGTGATTCTTTACTTCGTCCAAAGAAACTAGTAGTCCGTGGTTTGGATTTGAGGTACCCGGGCCCATAAAGGGAGGGTTCATACGGAGCGGGAGTATTCGAAAGGGATTCCGCGGGTCCGGTAGCAGCGTCCCTCCGTTGGTTTAAGCGTCGTAAGTCCCGCGGAAGGCACGGAGGTGGTGCAGGGTTACTTTGGTTTAGCCAGCGATTGGAATTTGGTTATGCACGAACTAAACTGCATTCCTTCTGCTGCTTCTCCGGTTTCTGCTTGCTTCCACTCCATCTGGTCAAGGGGGAGAGTGAAACTCGAGCTATTTGTCCATTTTTCTTACTAGGACTTGAGGTAACTAGAAGTGGAGATAGACGATTAGGGCACTTTGGAGGCAAATGCACAGCACCATCAGCGTTTGCTTCAGGGCTTAAGAGGACCAAAGTGGAAGTGGTTGCATTTTATTTCTCTTTTTACGCGTGGGAGTTGAAGTTACCTTAAGCTGTTTCGCTTTCTTCTCTTTTTAAAAAATTTGATTCTGCCTTCTTGAGCATTATTCTAAGTCTCTGATGCCCAACTAGTGTTTTTCAGACCTTTTGACTCTGACGCACGGTAAGAAATAATTATTAGAATGCGAAGTAAGATAGTGCAAAGTGCTTTTCTTGCTTGCGGTACTGTACCCGCCCACTACCTGCCGCGCACCCTTGGGGAAAGGCAGAAGGGGTTCCTTAGCACCTCTGGGTGTGCAGAGACCTCCCCCCAACCAAGAAATCTTAAGAGCTTGGGAGATATTTCAAAGTGCTTGGGAGATATTTCAAAGGACGTGCCCTAAGAGCCCTGGCTCAGCACTATTAGGGAGGCAGTTCCTCACCCCGCCAAAAAATTTCTTATATATGACACAATCCATGCATACACACTATATATAACGGACAGTCGGTCCTTGCAGAAACAATGCCTACTACATGCAATTTATGTAGCACTGTCCTCCCTTTGTTCATTGATTTTTCTGGAGCAGGCACCAGTAACATCTCTATTGTGAGATTTATTATTATACTTACCATAATATCATTTTTAAAATGAGCATCACAACCCATGAATGATTTTGTCATTCACAATTTTTAAAAAATGTGGTACTAGATATTTTCTTCAAATTTATGTGTGTTTAAGGATCACTTAGGACATTTTAAAAAACAAATGCAGATTTTCTCTGTGTTGCTCCAGGACTTATTTCTATGGTGGGACCCCAAAAGGTGATTGACAGAGTATATAAAGCGCATGCTACATGGCTAGATGTACCTTATTCAATAAACAATGATTTTTCCCTTGGGAAAGAATGCTATTGATCTTTAGAAATGTAATCACCTCTTACAAGTTTGAACTTTGACTAGGTGGTTAAGCTTAGCACTGTTTTCCCAAGGGCCAGGGAGATAGGAAATTACCTGATGGGTCCCGGATCTGAGGGACTCTTTAAATATTTCATTTTCACGGAGGCTTTTAGAAATACGGACACTTAGAAGTTGAGGGATTAGTGAGGTTCAGTGACTTGCCCAGGGTTGTGTGTTCTACACAAAAGAATTAATTCCCTGTGAAAGTATAGAATTTTCCTGATGGGTCTCATCAGCTCTAGAAGTAGAAGTTAGAGTTGAGAAACAGCTTTATTGACTTGCCCATTTCAGAAGCAGAGGCACACAGAATTTCAGTTTTTTTTTAGTTAGTGCTGATTTGTATTTAAAGTACTGAAAAGAAGGTGCCTCGTTAGCGCAGTAGGTAGCGCGTCAGTTTCATAAAGTACTAAAAAGACTCAAAAATATTTTTAAATACACCAGAAAATTTCTGTGAATTTTAGCTGTGTAAAAAGATATAGCTTAGCAGATACTTTTATAATATAAAAAATTTCAAACAAAAGTTAATATATTAAATAGGCATTAAAAATTATTGAAGAGAAACTCAATTCTACTACCAAAAATATAGGTGGTATTTTCATTTCCCTCGTACTTAATCCATATATAGTTACATAATTGTAATCCTTGTTATACGGCATTTTTAATATTTTTAGTACTGTTTTAGAAATTTTTCCATGTTGTCAAAATTCTTATATTTTGCGATTAATAGTTTGATTTTCATAAGTGGGATGACTATAATTTATTCAGCCAAACTAACCTTACTACAGAGGATTTATTTCCAGATTTCCCATGCTATCAGCAGCACTATTAAAGCCTTGGTTATTTAAAATAAATTATATATAACTGAGGGCTGGAAATGTAACTCAGTATTAGATCACTTGCTGTGCATGTGTGAGACCCTTGGTTTGAACCCTTGCATCACCAACAGGAAAAATATAACTGTTTTTCATGATACTTAAGAGTAATCCTAACAGGAAGATTAGCAATATGGACCTGAACTGTAAATTTTTGTCTCTTTTGAGTGTATGGATTTGCCTATCCTACATATCAGGTTGAGTGCAGCATTTTAACTAACAGGAATACACATTTCCAAAATGATTACTTGAAAAAAATGCATGAATCATAGCAGATTCAAGTACTCATGCTGATTAGCTTTCTTTCTGAGTATCTTTTTCAAAGATAACATGAGTGCACATTCATTTGTAATTTAAAATTTTTTATGAAGCATCCAATTAAGTTGACTTGGAGAATAGAAACTATAATTGGACTATATTAGCACTTCTCCCTTTTCAAAGTACATGAGTTATCTTATTTTCTTTCTTTCTAAAACACTAACCAGTCCCTCTTTAAAGTTATAAAATATTTTTAAAGTATAACAAAAACTGCTATGCACCATCAAACGTGGATCTGTCAAAGATTTAACAATTATTATTTTGTCATTTTTATTTAGATGTCTTTCAAACAACTCAAAGATACTGTTGCTGCTGTTACCCCTTCCCAGTTTTTTCCTTCCCATGCCGTAGTTAATTGTTTTCTTCGAGTTGATGTATCTTTTCCCAATATGTTTATAAAAATAATCAAATGTAAATGTCTAAAAGTTATTTGTGACATATTGTTTTGTATACACTTTAATATTTACATAAATAGTATGCTGTTACTTTTTGGTAAATTTTTGGTCATGTTTTTGAGATTCATCTATATATTTTAGTGTAGATAAGTTAACTTTTGTTATGGTAAATTATTTCATCATATAAATATATTGCTTGTTGTAATCCACATTCTCCTATTTATATACATAACCTAAATTTCCTTTTGACATTTAGGTTATGTATATAAATATTCAAGTATATAAATATTTGTAAAATTATAAAGCAATCAAATGCTATGTAACAAGTTATATAAATAAAATACCTACTATCATAGGAACATTATAAACACTGAAGACTGATAGATATTACCAAGGACTGGGTGAGGCAAGAAATTGGAAATTATGGTATAGAGTTTCTTTGTAAAATGATAAAAAAAAGTTTTAAATACATGGTAATAACTGAACAGCATGTGAGTCTACTCAATGCCACTGGAGTATACTTGTACGTGGTTAAATTGGAGTTGTGGGTCCAAGCTTCATATGTATGAGGTCCTAGGTTTGACCCAGGCACCAAAACAAAAAAGGTAAAATGTGGCACATTTTATATATTCTACCAAAATAAAAATCATAAACGTAAGAACATTGCATATCTCAGAGGTATATATTTGATTGCTTTCATTTTGTGGAGTGAAGCCTTGAGGGGAAAAAAAATCATATTAGCATGAACTTTATTTTTCCTTGTGAAAAATAATAGTTTTGGAGAACTTTAACGATTGCTGTTGCTTGTATGCTCATTTAAGGTTTTTATGACTACCACAATTCAGATATCTCTAGTCTATTTCATTTTGCTTTTGTTTTGGGCTGCACCTGGAGGTGTTCAGGGCTGACTTCTGACTCTGTGCTCAGGAATCTATCACTCCTGGTGGGGTCCCCGGAACCGTTTGGGGTACTGGGGATTGAACCTGGTGTAGTTTCATCTGGGCTGGAGTGATAGCATAGCGGGTAGGGCGTTTGACTTGCATGCAGCCGACCCGGGTTCGATTCCTCCCTCCCTCTCGGACAGCCCGGCAAGCTACCCGGAGTATCACAGCAGAGCCTGGCAAGCTACCATTGCGGTTTCGATATGCCAAAAACAGTAACAATAAGTTCTCACAATTTGTTGTGAGACGTTACTGGTGCCTGCTCGAACAAATCGATGAACAACAGGAGGACAGTGCTACAATACAATGTAGTTGCATCTAAGACAAATGCCTTACCATCTATACTATCTTTCCAACCCCTTTTTCATTTTTAAATCGTTTTGTAAATTGAATCACTGTAAGATAGACCCTTACAAAGCTGTTCATGATTAGGTTTTAGTAATACAGTATTCCAACAGCCGGTCCCTCCACCAGTATAAATTTATAAATGTGGTACGCTTCACAAACTTGCGTGTCATACTTGTGCGGGGGCTGTGCTAATCTTCTCTGTGTGTTCCATTTTAGTATAAGTGCTGCCGACGCAAGCACCCTATTTCAGTTTACCATAGAGGATCTCTACCTGGTTTGTGCAGGTTGGGATATCCAGGATTTGGAACTCAGTGCTGAGCATGTGCAGTGCTCTTGTCCTGTCTTCACCCTCCCATCATTCAGTCTTTTTTTTTCACTTACAAGTTCAGGAGGTGAGGAGGCATTTTCTAAAGCAAGTTTGCCTTGCAAGTATGCTTTTGCTTTTGAATGCCATTCCTCCATTTTGTTGTTGTTATTTTTTGTTTTTGGTTAGTTAGCTCAAGTGTTTTACTTTTCTTAACTATTTCTCCTCCCACATCTCCAGAGCCTTGTTTTTCCCCTTTTCCTCCCTATTCGGCCATAATCTCTCTCTCCTCTCTCTCTCTCTCTCTCTCTCTCTCTCTCTCTCTCTCTCTCTCTCTCTCTAGTCTCTCTCAGCTCTCCTGAGATTTTTCCCTCTGTGGTCTTGATTACTCTCCCCTATGTCACTTCCTTGCTCTTTTCTTTAACAATTCTAACTGCAAAAGACTTTCACTGAGAATGAGACCAGTTTCATAGCAATTTAGTCTTTTGCAGCATTACGTATTTCAGTGTTTTGGGAATTGTTAATTTTTAGAGTTTTAAGAACCTTTTTCTAGTCTGTAGAATTAAATTCTCACATGTCCTTGACAAGCTTTAGTATGAAGGGGGAAGAAAGCCCTTAATGTGAAAGACAATCAGTAATTTATACTGCTTATAATTAATACATGTTTTAATTAAAATCCTTTTCTAGGGGGATGCACCCGAGCCTTACCTGGGGCCCTGAAGTCACCCCTGGCGATTTTCCATGGACCCACCAGCTGTTACTCGTGAGGGCTTTGTGAACCCTGAAATTCCAGGAATTATCCTGGCCACTTCAGTGATAATGGGGAAGGTAGTCCACACACAGGGCCACATCAAGTGTTGCTTGTGTGGTTGGGGGAGGGGTGATGGAGGAATGTAGTGCCTGACTGGAACCCAAGGTGCTATCTCTTCAGTCCTGCTTAAGATACTTAATATAGGGCTGGACTAACAGTGGGCTTTGCTTGCAGGCATACAGGAGGCCCAGTTAGATCCCCAGCACTGCTTGGTCCCCCCTCAAGGACTACCAAGAGAAACCCACCAAAGACTTTCAAGTATTCCCTCAGCATTTCTGGGTGTGCTGCACCCCCTAACTCCTCCTTAAGGATGTTTAATATGAGCTCTAACTCATGCACCATCTTCAGTAGACCAATATCTTATTTCAACATAAAATAAAAGGATCACCATCACAAGTTTGGTTTCATTTAAAATAACTGTTAGAGCTGTGGTGATAGTTCCAAGAGCTGGAGTGTATACTTCGCATGCCAGAGCTCCGTTGGATCCCTGGCTTCACCAAGCGTCCAAGATGTTCCCCCAATATATATGTATATATATACATATGTATGTATACATATCATATATGGGTGTCTGTGTATGTGTATATACATATATATTGGATGTGTGCATGTGAATATACAAGCATATATATTCTAGGAAATTAAACATTTAGAATAAACTATTAGTAATTCAGTTTATATATCTAGAGTTGGCATCCATAACTATGGCAGATAAACCTACCATTCTTTAAGGCTTTTTCTCTTTACTAGCATTTCTGGAAGACTTTCTTGGTGGAACAAGAGGTTTCTTCAGTATATTCATACCTTTCCTTTACTTCTTTGCTTACATTTTGTGATAGTTATTGATAAATGATAAAACTACATTATCATAAGCTGCTATTTCTAGGAATAATTTTGTAACTTGACTAATCTTGCTTGAATTTTCAGACTGTATATTTTTGCTTTTTTTATAACTTGATCAACAGTTTTATTGTGAAGTGGGGTAAGCCAATCCCAGAATACTTTCGCCCACAACAGGGACTGCATGGACTTAGAGTCAAAGATTACTGGGACCGTGGAGTTCATGCCCAATTCAATCAGCTAATAAGTGGCTGAATAAATAGCAGTACTCCTACATAAAAAAAACAAAGATTACTGGGACCTAGAGCTAGAGAAAATCAGTCCAGAATTATGGTAATGGTGATTTCTTTTTAGTAATTGAGAAGTAGGTGGAGCGATAGCAAAGCAGGTAAGGCATTTGCCTTGCACGGGGCCTACCTGGGATTGATACCTCTGTCCCTCTCGGAGAGCCCGGCAAATTACCGAGAGTATCCTGCCCGCACAGCAGAGCCTGGCAAGCTCCCTGTGGCATATTCGATATGCCAAAAACAGTAACAACAAGTCTCACAATGGAGACATTACTTGTGCCCACTCGAGCAAATCTATGAACAAAGGGAGGACAGTGCTACAGTGCTACAATTGAGAAGATGATGTGAATTCATAAAGCTTGATGCTTATTGAGTAATTGGATGATTTAGGAAGAATGATTTGCTTCCAAGATGGTGGGAAAATTTTAAAAATTGCTACATTGCTGAATGTCTGTTCTAGTCATCTCTGGACATTAATATATTCAATTATTATAAAAGAATAATAGCATGAACCCCCCAATTATTTAAACTTTGTGAGAGAGAATCCACTCATCTTTGTAGAAGTTATTTATAATAAGTTTTTTGTAGGAGTACTTCTATGTATTCAGCCACTGATTAGCTGATTGAATTGGGCATGAACTCCACCTTTAATTTTTCCCATAATTTTATTTATTTTTTTCTTTTTATATTTATTTATTGAATCACTGTGGGAAAAGTTACTAAGCTTTCAGGTTTAAGTCTCGGTCATACAATGATCAAACACCTTTCCCTTCACCAGTACTCATTTTTCACCACCAAGAACTCCAATATACCCCCCCTCCCACCCCTCCAAATGCCTGTGAGGCAGATGATTTCTACTTAACTCTTCTCTACATTGATTACATTCACTATTTCGACAAAAGATGCACCATTATTGTTGAGAATTTCCCCCCAAACAATCAGAATTGCTGAAAAGGCATTGTGAAATATTTTGTTTTCTATAGCTGGTTATGAGAATCATATAATGTCACACAACCATGATTTTGGATTTCTACAAAGAGCCAGATAATTACAAGATTGGTTTCTGTGTGTCTGGTGTTATGGCCATGCCAGAGAACTGCTCGTGGGGCAACTCATGACCTCCGTAGGGCGAGACAGACGTGCCGGTACCACCCCCCTTTCCATGAGACTGCAGTTGCCCCGTCACCACCGGCTCGAACCTGGCTTTCCTATAAGCTCTGAGGCAGCGGCCAGCTTGCTGCCAGGGGGGAAAAAGGCTAAATGGACCAACACCGTTTCCCTCTTGGGGAGGCATGGTGCCGTAGTTTAACGCATGGTCCATTCACTTTTTTTCTGCAGGATGCTGGGCTCTAGACTAAGTCCTTTTGCCTCTGGAACCATGGCTATGCCAGAGAGCCGCTTGTGGGGGGCAACTCATGACCTCGGTAGGGCATGAAGGACGAGCCGGTACCGTCCCCCTTCCCATGAGATTGCAGTTGTCCCTTCACCGCCGGTTCATATCTGGCTTTCCAATAAGCTCTGAGGTGGTGGCGACCTTGCTGCCAGGGGGGCGGGAGACGGAAGGGAGCAACACCCTTTCCCTCCTGGGGAGGCATGGTGCCATAGTTTAACGCATAGTCCATTCACTTTTCTGCCGCAAGCTGTCGGGTTCTGGATTAAGTCTTTTTGCCTCTGGAGCCATAGCTGTGCCAGAGAGCCACTCGGGGGAGAAGGGGGGGCAACTCGTGACCTCGGTAGGGCATGAAAGACGAGCAGGTACCGCCCCCCTTCCCATGAGACTGCAGTTGCCCCATCACTGCCGGCTCATACCGGGCTTTCCAATAAGCTCTGAGCTGGCGGCCACCTTGTATGCAATTCAGATGCATTTCTGCCAAAAACCACTGGGTTTCAAGATTTGTTTCTGAGTCTCTGGTATCATGGCCATTAATCAGGTAGATCAGGAGACAGAGAGGCCGTTTGTAGGTGGCGACATGGGATCTCGTTGGGATGGGGAGAAGGAGTAGGCTCCACCCCCATGTGGTGAGGCTCCGTGTGTCTCGTCACTGCAGGCCCAAATTTGACTGTCCAGTAGCTTCTGGAGGATGGTGGTCACCAGGCCGCCCAGGGGAACAGGCCGAGGCACGAAACCTATTCACACCTGGAGTGGCCTAGCGCCAGTAATCTACTGCAGGAACAGGACGCATTTCTGCCAGAAGCCTTCGGGTTCCGAGATTCATTTCTGAGTCTCTGGGATCATGGCCATTAAGCAGTTCAATCAGGAACCAGAGAGGCCATGCTTTCAATTATATATCTGAGCCAGAGGTGGTTTGTGGGTGTGTCTCCCATATACCTAACTTTTGGCCTTTTACTTTCTTGGTAAACATTGCCCCAAGTTTTTGTGGTCTGGCCAAAGGCACAGCAGCAATTTTGGGGTATCTGTAAGTCTGACATTGCCATCAGGCTGCAGATGCACTCACCTCACAGGTACAGATTGACCTGCTGGCAGCACCATACCCCCATATAATAAGTTTAAGGTCATGAATTGATCTTATTTTTGCTTTTGAAGATACAGTGAATTTATCTTACTAAATCATCCGCTAATATTAAAATGGAAATATTCTATCTACTTCCTTTCTCTAATAGTTGGGTGGCCTTGGAAAGGCAATTAGTGTCTCAGAGCCTCACATTATAAAATTATAGAGTGGAAATCAAAATACATTTTTGAAAACAATAACAAATTCCCATACTTTTTATTTCTTGCAGATAACTAAGGAAGATAAAGGATTTGAAATATAATAAAATATTTTAAATTTTATATTATATAGGAGATTAAAGAGTTTAAGTGGTAAAATAGTGCATCTGATATGACCTACCATCATTTATTTATCCTAAGTCAGATTTCTTACTACCAAAATATAGGATCAGCAAATGATGATATGAACTACACAGGTAAGATAATTTGCATCTAATAAATTAGATATGCATAGTAATTTTTAAATTGTAATTTGAAATATAATTT